AATTTGGATAGGATACTTCGGATAACGGATTACGAATATCTAATGGATAAATGGATAAATAGATAATGGATGGGAACACTAGGATTTTGACTTTCAGGATTTGACCTAGACCCCTTTTATTAAACATACGTATCATCATCAAACGCAACCATATTCACGTAATTTTTTCCATAACTTGCTCAAATTCTGATTGAGTAACCGTGTAATTAATATAGTTAAGTACATTTTGAGCATTCTTAAATACTAAGGAAAAGTCGCTTCGGCCTCATTGCTGAGCTTTACGTTATTTGGGAAAAAGATAACCATTTTCCTTATTTGGTTGGTTTTTACAATTCTGCCGTTTTTAGACTAATTCAAATAAAAAGATAATTATTATTTTATTACCATATAAAGATGTCAGTTAAAGTGGAGTTGGAGTTAGGGTTACTTTTTTTCTCATCGCAAAACCGATTATTGGCTTGAGAATGGTACAACTTATTAAATATTAATTATACATTTCTCAAATGTTTTCGCCGTAATGAATTTGCTAAATCGTAATGAATTTGTTCGGATACGTGCTACAGGAATACTGTATTTGTTGCATTTCGTCTATCTTACATTTTTATACGAAAGTTTACAAAAAAACGAAATAAAACGGGTTGTCCCAAAAGGTTTCCTTAATAGCATCCCTCCCGAATACATCTCTTCTCGATTAAAATCGATTACAACCTACTCTCCTTTAATATATCATTAATGAAAAGCTACTAAAAGTGACGCAGTGCTGGCTCTGCATAAAAAAAAAATAAAAAAATAAAAATATATACATATAAAATAACCAAATTCAGATTAAACAAAATAATTATTATTAAATCTGAGAATGGCTCGCGGACAGAAAAACCCGGAAATTACTGAAACAAGAAACGGAGTCACAAATTATATTAACTTTATGAAAGACTTCTATCCTCGCGAATCGGCATTTCCTGTCCAAGTGGATTATTTGAAACAGTACATTGATTACAAGGTTAAAGCGGGCAAGCTGCAAATTAAATATTTAAAATTGTACGTAACGAACATTAAGGCTCATAACGAAGCTCTTGGATTTAGTTGGGCTTTTGGTGCTATTATAAAAACAGCTTTGGTAGTCGTTTCTTCTAACTTACTACCCACTGACATTAATTCTTCTAACTTGAATGCCTACTCGCTCCAGAGTTCTGATTCTTTGTGTAACTCACAATTCAGACAATCTTACGACCAGAATTCTTCTGGTATCAATACATTGAATGTTTCAGTTGATAATAATATTCAAGCAAATATCACACAGAACGACAACTTTCTTTACAATCCGAGTCCTTGTGATGCACGTCCCTTTCTTCCAGCTGAAATTAGTGCGCCAAACATCGTTCCCCTTCCCACTGGCATTAACTCTTACATCCAACTGATGCACTTAAGATCTAATCAATTTGATACACAACACGTTATACCAAGCAACAATTTTCCTACTGTTCCAACTGATAATGCTTATTTTTTAATGTACAAGCAAGTGACACACAAAATATTAACTTTCCTTATAATCTGAGTTCCCGTGATGAACGTCCCTTTCACTCACCTGGAATTAATGCTTCAAATAACATTCCTCTTCACATTGATACTCAACATACCTGTATTATACCAAACAATAACTTTATTTATAGTCAGAGTTTCCCTGATGCTCGACCCTCTCTCCAACCTGAAATTAATGCAAATTTTCAAAATACTTTTCTTAACCAATTGCCTAATCCTAATATTGGTGTGCAAGAATTAGAAAAGCAAAATTTTATTTCTAACGCATGGAAACAAATTTATGACTCACAAAGAAAATTGCTTATTTATATTCTTTAATCACGTATATCAGTTAGATAAAACATTTCATCCATCCATTCATTTAACTATTCAACAACTTGCAAAATAGATTTATATATTTTTTCTTTTATTCATTTTTCGCAGAATCATAATTCTAGCTCAAATTAGTATAATATTGCAAATTTCATAATCCTCTTTTACTGTTTGCTATACTTAGGCATGGAATTTGAATTTAATAGGATAAAAATCAATTGAAATAAAAACAAACATATGTTTGAGCCAGAAATTTTATTCATAGAAGTTATTCTTATCTGTCAAATTAGCTCAAGTTTTTTTAGAGTTAACTTTTTAATAGCTTTAATATTTAAATAAAACTAATAAATTTCTCCAAAATATTGTTTTAAACAAATTTTTGATAAATTCATCTTGAAGCTAGTACTTCAAATAAATTTAGTATTATAGTCTAATTACAACAAAATTTAAATTTGATATAGTATTAAAATAAACCATTTTAATTAAATTTGGTCAAATAAATATTATTAAGATTTTTATAAAGATTGTTATTTTTAGGTTTAAAAAATTTTCGAAAATAATGATATAAAAAAAAAAACACTTATACAGTCAGACCTCGTTATAGTCACTCTTGATATAGTACAACCTTGTTATAGTCACACTTTTTTCTTAACCCTAGA